TATAAGAGTAGGCTGTAGTGCTGTCCGGGCAAAATTTACTTTCGCACACTGTATGGCACATACCTGTCTTCATTAGCCCAGTTTGAAGCAGAACAGTAGGATGTTAAAACCCATTTCGTTTCATTTCAATAATTACTGCCAGAGTTATGGCCCTTGATCAGTTTGAAAAACCTTGTGGACACGCTAGTCCTTAGGACTTTAAATTTATACTTGGGAAGATTATACGGCTCAGTATTTCCCTCTCGCTAAAACTCCTTGTGCTACCTATTTAATATTTTAACTTGATAGATACAGCAACAGTAATGTTAACAAGCACTCATTACCCGTGGTGGGGCGACAGACTGTACAAATGTTCTGTCAACTCTCACAAAACAGGCGGAATTAACATGCAGGCCTCAAGATTCTGTCCCATTTCTTATCCTCACAAATGCCAGGAAATTTAGGCCCAATGCCTACAATTGGGGGAAAATGTGATTATGTTGACATAAATGAGGATCATGTTATATATTAATAAAACATAAATTTCTTGGACTGTCCATCTCTAAATAAGTGTATATGATGCCCCTGGACAACTGTTTTGATTTGTGGCGAGGTGGGTGGGGGGTAGCAGGTGTGCGTGTGTGGAGGCGGCGAGCGGGGGGGGGGGGTAAAATTGGCAGGAAATGAGTTCACGTGGATTTAAATGATGATTTTCTTAGAGCTTGGTAAAAACATGTAATTTGGGGGACCCACTACGGTCTAGATCCGCTACAGCTACAGTTAACTACGTCTAATTACTTTTAATACATTTAACTACGGTCAACTACAGTACGGTCATCCCCCACTATGGTCAACTACAGTACCATCAACCCCCACTATGGTCAACTATATTTACGGTCATCTACAGTATATGGTCAACCACTGTACGGTCATCCCCCAATACTGTCACCTACAGTACGGTCATCCCACACTATGGTCAACTACACAGTACGGTCATCCCCCACTACGGTCAACTTTTAACGTATACTGACTTGATTCATCAGTTCATTTAACACGTGACTAAATATATCCAACACGTGACCTGTTCATAATATTCTAAATATAGATCTAGCGTGAAAGGAAAGTAAAAGTAGAATTTCTGAGAAACTGTAGGATGTTTATTGACCTTGACATCAATCCAATACGATAATAAAAGTTGAATTTCTGAGAAATTGTAGCAAGTTTACTTATGTTGACCGTGACACCATGCCGTATAAATTTACATTGATGTTGATTGAAACAAAACGTGAAATATCACTGACCGTGGAAGTAGAAATATCTCAAATACCCCTTGTATACAGTCTAATACCACATGTATATCTCACGTATACAGTTTGTTTACGTATAAACTGTCACGTAGTTTAATATCACGTGATTGATGACCTCGGGTTCAAGGCAGGATAAAGTGTTCGAGGTGACTCGTGACGTCCATGTTGACTAGAGAGAAGAAGTTGTTGTATTGTTGTGTCAGTGATCTAGTAGACTAGTTACCTGTAAGACTGTAAACTATACAGTTCTAATAGTTTTGATTTTTATACCGTGTTTTATATTGGACTAACTGATTCATTCTGTATTTTATACAACCCGTGGAACAGTAAGACTGTAAACTACACTGTCGTATGTTTGTTATATCTGACTACTGATTGATTCTGTAGTTTTATCCTGTTTCAACTCGTATTGTATTCAACATGGCTAAACAGACAGATAAAGACGTGTGCATGATTTGTTTAAATGATTTTGAAACACCGGTTTTGATAGATTGTCAACATACTTTTTGTTTCATCTGTTTAGAAGATTATGTGAACAAAACCTCTACTAAAGATCAGTTCCAATGTCCATTATGTCGGTGTCTTATAGACGGGGGTATACAGCGTTTTAAACCTAAACTAAACATTGACGACAATTCTACTATTCCACAATGTGATGTATGTACTGAAGATACATGTCAATATTTTTGTCGAGACTGTGATCAATATTTATGTAAATCATGTAAAACTATCCACGGTAAGTTGAAAAGTAGTGAAGACCATATTGTTTGTCGATATGATGAAAAACAAGTCTGTCAACAATCAAACGAACCAATGAAGGAAAAGGCACCAGTCACTTCCGTCACACATCCGAAAGATTTCTGTCCAAACCATGAAGGAAAGAAAGTAAAAATTTACTGTAAAGATTGTTCACTAGCCGTGTGCTTGAATTGTCTCGTGACCGATCATAACGGACATAATTTGTTAGATTTACGGAAGGATGAAGTCAGACAAAATATTAGACACGATTTAAAAACACTGAATGATGATTTAGAAAAACAAATTACCTATTTTCAGAAACATTATGATAATTTAAATAGTAAATTGATTGAAGTAAAAAACTGCACAAAAACAGAATGTGACAAAGTAGATGCACAGGTGGATAAAATCTGCTCCGAATTTCGTAAAATTGGAGAAAATATTAAAAAGGAAATGCAGAAAACTAGTGAACAAGAAGAATCCAAATTTGGGAAATTAATGGAGGACATTAAAAGACTAACCGAAGATTTAAAAGCTAGTGTTAAATATTCAGTGAATGTTTTAGAAGATTCGTCTGTTGTTCAAGTTCTACAAAGATTACCTAAAGTTAGACAGGAGAAAGATGAAAGTTGTTGTAGAAAATTGGATATACCTGATGTAAGATATTCAACATTTCAAGTAGCAGAGATAGATAAAACTTTGTTAACTAATCAACTTGGTAAAATTGTAAGTTGTCATCAGAATATGATTGAAGATGTTTTTAATGTGGATACTGTGCAAGGTGATGATGGTTGGTATTATGGTAAACAACATGTAGTTTCAGGTTTTACATGGCGTATCTCTGTGCTCTCATCATCATCATTACATGTTAGATTATACCTGAAAGACGTAGAAGATAAAAGTATTACATCATGTAATGTTGACATCACATATAAAGTTATAAATAAAACAGATGATAGACAATCTGTAGTTAAACAATGTAATGGGACTGTTAGACCTGGTGATTCTACCTGTTTAACTGATCTTATTGACTGGAAGAGATTCAGTAATCCTGTCAGTGGATTTATTGATGATCATAGAAACTTTACAATTCAAACAACATTTAATAAAATAACTAACATTGTACCAGATTAATAATTAGGTTACTGTTATTCTGATTAAAACTATTAACTTATGACCAATGTTCCTTTACAATTAAAGTAATAAATAATAATTGAACTTCTATCTGAATTATGTTTAGATAATCTACTCATTATCATGCAAGGGAGATAACCTGTTTTCTCGCGGACTCCGCAATATTCAATGCTATTAGTTGACCCAAATGTTTTCAATATATATTGATGACTCGTGTAACCAAAGCTAGAAAATAAATTCAATTTTAAAATCGATTCGGCCTCTATCGCTCACCCTTTAATGCAAGGGAAAAGTTCGGGAAAAAACTCTACCCACGTGCAACACTGAGAAAATGGGGTCAAGTGACTGTACTCATGAGTATCGTTATAAATTCCAGTTTGTCCACAGTTAATACTTATTCTGATAAATACTACATGAACGTAACGTATTTAACACCAAAAACACTTCAATGTATTCCAGGCGTGTGGGGTTTTTGACCAGTATAACACCCATGACGTCATAGTTTGGGGCCTAAAAATGGCGGTCGAAAGTGTAAATGACGTTTCGTGAATAAATATTCCTGGTAGTGTTTCGTTTGATTGAACCTAATCCCATTGACCAAAAATTATGATTGGTCAATACTGGGACCAACAACCAGTACAATTTGTGTCCCAAATTATGATTGGTCAATACTGGGACCAACAACCAGTACAATTTCTGTCCCAAATTATGATTGGTCAATACTGGGACCAACAACCAGTACAATTTGTGTCCCAAATTATGATTGGTCAATACTGGGACCAACAACCAGTACAATTTCTGTCCGACATTATGATTGGTTAATACTGGGACCAACAACCAGTACAATTTGTGTCCCAAATTATGATTGGTTAATACTGGGACCAACAACCAGTACAATTTCTGTCCCAAATTATGATTGGTCAATACTGGGACCAACAACCAGTACAGTAAAAAAAAATCAATCGGGATTCTCCAGTGCCTTCTCCAGGGAATAGAAACCACACCAATTGACTCAATGACAGATCTTCACGTGCACGTGTTAAACCACAGGACCACCCAACCCTGACCCTACAATTTATTATAATGGAGTCAATATTTCTTCATTATTCAAGTTACACACGGCTGAAAAGTTTGTTTATTTGGTTGTAATTTGGTCTATTTGAAGACAAACAAAATGAAATGAAATTGGGTTTAACGTCCTACAGTTCTGCTCCGAACTGGGCTAATGAAGACGGGCATACACCATACAGTGTGCTATGAGGGAAATTTTGCCCGGGCAGCGGCGCTACGGCATACTCTTATATCGAATTCCAACTGTCAAGGGATCTTTTATGTGCACGCCAATGTGTACACAGGATATCATTTTTTCGTCCAATCCAAACTACTTGACAACTATCCTTGTCAGGCCCTCTGGCTTGCATCAGTGACATGGGGGAACCACGCCAGAAAATATGGAAGAACTTTCTCGGCCAATGCTGGGATCGAACACCCTACCTCCAGGCTAGCGAGCCAGTGTCTTACCCACTTAGCCACCGTGATTCCCAATTGAAGACAAACACATAAAATAGTAATGCTGATGTCAACCGCCGTGATCCCACTGGTTTATAGCTCACACAATCAACTTGGCAAAACATGAACAGAAACTGATCATCATCGAACTTAGTCAAGGTATGGATTTAATAGAACTATTAATCAAGTCTCCACACCATTATCAAACTTAGTCAAGGTATGGATATAATTGAACTAATTATACTCCAGCAGGTATAAAATTAATTATCTCTACTTAGCCTAAGCAGAAACAACTAATCACAAACATTCACCTAATAAACAACAACAAGTTGGGACATTCAACATGGCGTCTTAGATACAAACAAACAAACATGTTAATACAATATATTCTATTATATTAGCAGTAGTATATTCATGTGATATATACAATATTAGGTTATGTTTAATACACAACATTATGCCTGTATTATATACAAATTATACAATTAATACACAACATTATGTCTGAATCGTAAACAATGGCTACCTCCTATTATTACAGTTGTTCTCTCAAATTTCAGTATCAAGCACATTAGAAACTGATTGAAATGTCTGATAAATAAACCAGATACAAACAGTTATGTACTATTCTGTCTGATAAATAAGTCTACAAAACACTGAACAAATCTTCAGGATCTATATTAGATACATTAGAATTATTAGAACTACTTTTACTCATCCGACCTCGACCACCATCATAGCTAAAAATATAAATATATATATATTATATAAATTATATGAATGATTGACATTAAATAATATAAAATGGGGTTTAACGTCCTACTGTTCTGCTCCGACAGGGCTAATGTAGATTGTAGCACAAATTAGAAATTTGCTCGATTCTGATTGTTCGAAAAGTGTAGTTGGGTGGTCTAGTACAACCAGGGATTCGAAACCACGCCAGTTGACTCAATGACAGACCTTATGATACAACATGCAAATGCGAACCATTATAAATTACCCCTCATTGGATGTATTTCTAGTTATTTTAGATAAATTATGTTTATAACAGTAATTACCTCTCATTGGACGTATTTCTAGTTATTTTAGGTAAAACAGGTTTATATCATTAATTACCTCTCATTGGATGTATTTCTAGTTACTTTAGGTAAAATAGGTTTATAACATTAATTACCTGTCATTGGATGTATTTCTAGTTATTTTAGGTAAAATAGGTTTATAACATTAATTACCTCTCATTGGATGTATTTCTAGTTACTTTAGGTAAAATAGGTTTACTTGGTGTCGCTGTTCTTACACTTCCTCTCTTTCTAGCTGACCTTAAAAATACAACATAATAACCATAATATTCACATATAGTTACCATAACAACCATCTGACTCAACACTGAAACCCTAGTGTATGAGTAATCTATCTGTTTAGTTAAACCCTACTGTGTATAAATTCTACCTTTTAACTATCGTAGAAGATGATGATGTAATCTCGTCATCCCCTAAATCTAACGATGAATCTAGATCACCAGTTTTACGGCCCACATTCTTTCTCTGACGTTTAGGTGGTGGCGTCTAAAATAAATAAATAATATCACTTTATATAGTACTTTGAATAGGTTTTCATCATTCAATAAATATTGATTATTGATATCATGTAATATTCAAAAATAAACAGAATACTGAAAGGGAAGTAACTCTATTAGTAAGTGCAGGAGGACCGCACTACACGCAAAACAAAAATCTACAAGATAAACCTGCAGACAAGACAGAAAATAGACATTGCACCAAATAAGCAAACATCAAATCCAGTGAATGATTTTATATAACCTACCTCTTCCTCATCTGTATTTTCTTCTTTATCGCTAGAAAATAAAAACAATGGTGATCAAACACAGACTCTACAAAATCTAAATTTTATCAAATAATGGGACTACTGCTGGCTTTCAGTAACAAATCATCAATATTGTAGGTGTTCAATAATTAAGGTCTATTTATGTAGCCAGGTACATGTAATGGCCAGGTGTTCAATAATTAAGGTTTATTTACCTTTCTTCTTTATTTGTTTCAACCTGTTGTTCTCTGTTTTGTCTTCCATTTCGGTCAGGTGTTCAATAATTAAGGTTTATTTACCTTTCTTCTTTATTTGTTTCAACCCGTTATTCTCTGTTTTGTCTACCATTTCGAGTAGAATTCGACTGTGACACTGTAAAATGTAAAATATAATCTTATCATCTTCATTTCTATTTTTATATTTTTTAAACCAATGTGTTTATACATGTCTCATACATGTTTTGTTTGCTATGTCTGTGTTCTGCTGTGCAGTTTTCCTGAACAGCCTATTAAAAGCAGACGAAACAAATCAGAATACTTTCAAAAGAATATTTTTTTTTCTGGTAATGTTAATACCAGACTGGCTAATGCAGTTGGCAGGTCATACGACCACTGGTTAATACCAGTTATCATGCTATTGTTCACAATTGATACCGGACTGGCTGTCCTACAGTTATATCATGCTATTGTTCACAATTGATACCAGACTGGCTGTCCTACAGTTATATCATGCTATTGTTCACAATTGATACCAGACTGGCTGTCCTACAGTTATATCATGCTATTGTTCACAATTGATATTATTTTTCCTTTTGTACCAAAGAACCAGACAAATCTACCCTTGGGCACCTCAACCCTTTTTACCTTGTTAAAGATTTTAGTACTATAGACCAAACACAAAAATTATTTTTCTAAGATACTGCTACATCATTTAAAGAGAGCCTACCACCTGTTTTAATTTTAAATAAAGAACAATACAAATGGTCTCATTAATTATCGCATCAAATTGTTTTCTCCGGGTAAACTTGAATGGAAATGCATAAACATTGTAGGCTCAATTACCAAGTAAGCATCCCTGATAAATGTTATTGACAATAATACTGGATAATCATACATTTAACAACATGTATCAGATATTTAGGAAGGAATATATTGTTTTTGTATGACCTGATGATCAAGGGTGAAATAAACAGTATAAAGGGTGAGTTTTAGGTCACTAGGTCTGTTATTAAGTCAAGAGACATGAATCCCATATGTTAGTCTCAATATGATCAAGTCAGGGTGTACTTTAGATCACTAGGCCTGTTATTAAGTCAAGAGGCATGAATAATCTCAGGGTTTTTCTGCAGGTCCTTTGGTTTCCTCCTGTTGTTAAACAAACAGGTGAATTATTAACATGAGAGCACCATATGTTAGTCTCAACATGATCTAGTCAGTGTTAAGTTGATGTTAGTCTCAACATGACTTAGTCAGTGTTAAGTTGATGTTAGTCTCAACATGACCTAGTCAGTGTTAAGTTGATGTTAGTCTCAACATGACCTTATACATGAGCAAGTTTCCAAAAGAATAAGAAATACAGATTTTAATTCCTTCATTTATACCCTCAGAAATAAAATGGGGTTTAACATCCTACTTTAACAGGAGACCTCCAGGTAAACGAGCCAACGTTTCACCCACTGAGCCACCGTGGCTCCCCATGTATATGCTGGGTGTGAAATAAAGATTTAGTCATCATAAATAAAACGGAATAAGTGTTACCTGATGTTCCATCATCTTTCTCATTATCATCACCTGTAATAACACATCAAATATAGCACGAGTTAGTGAGCGCTTGATGTATATGTTGATAAACTTGATCGTGCAACAGTTTCTGACTTAAAAACCACGGAAAAAAACTAGGGCAGTGGATAATCCAATAATTTATTGGGCTTCGATATTTGTAATAAACAGTCAGCGATTAAAGACAGCATCGTCTTGTATATGCAATGAATTCTCCTCCGGCTTCGCACCTGTTGCTAGGTACCGAGACAGCTAAGTCACTTGACACAACAATGACCTCTTTTGATCAATTTTTTATAGCAGGGGTATTCCCTGACAATTACAATGTTTTGAGAAGGATTTGAAGCAAAATTATAATAAATTAATTGATTTGAATATGTTTTTAAAAGTAATATAAAAATATTTTTTAACTGAAAATAATTATATGTAATATAAAAATCATTCATATTTGAGTCAAACTCATAAATCTAATAACAACTTGAGTCATATTAAAATATTCCCTGTAAACAAATTATTATACCATATGTTAATTGTGAAATGATCTTGTTAGTTTCAAGTGGATGTTAAACCCTAAAGTCTCTCTTACCTGAACCATTTTCTATTAAATTTCTTATTTTTTCTTTTTTACTATTTAATATGGCCACAAACTAAAAATAAAAGATATTTATGTAGATGATAATAATTAACCGGGAGATCCTGACTTTGATCTTGGTGTTTGTCGAGAAGGTTTCTTGAGATTTTCCAGGATGCTTTCCTCATGTCACTGGTTCAGTAAGGAAAAGGATGAAAACTGGTGGTCCATTGAGTACGAGATGGTGTCCACATTAAAGAAGATCCAACAACTCGAACTTGATCAAGAGTAGGCAGAAACTACACTGTCCTGTAAAAATTACCATCACTAGAAGGCTTGATTTTGCTTTAACTCTGTAATCTTATCAAGTCTTTCACGTAATACCCTGCATATTTCATCATTAATTGTAGGTCGCCATGTCTGATTTGAGTGTTTATGTGTCCCGACCTCTGATTGCACAACGCTACTGTTCATGTGTGTGCAGTAAAGGGAGATAATGGCTAGATGTTGTAAAACTTGCAGTCATTGCTTCAGGAACATGGTGCTGTCCAGTCAAAATTTCTGTCCATTAAACCAATTTTCCTCCTTCAATAACCCGTGGTACAGGAACGTTAGACAGTAAACCATTTTTAGTTTTATTCTAACCCTAACCCTCAATAACCCGTGGTACAGGAACGTTGGACGGTAAACCTTATTTAGTTTTATTCTAACCCTAACCCTCAATAACACGTGGTACAGGAACGTTAGACGGTAAACCATTTTTAGTTTTATTCTAACCCTAACCCTCAATAACACGTGGTACAGGAATGTTAGACAGTAAACCTTATTTAGTTTTATTTAATAAAATATTTAAAACTAAAATTAAGAATCAGTATTTTTTATTGTGTCTTTTATTACAAAAATACAAATGATAAATCATTCATACTTGGATGACATGTTATTTACCTTTGAAAATAAATCTTTTTCCATTTCTTCTTTTGCAGCAATACATTTTTCTAGCCTCTATAAAAGAAAAGTTGAAATTGGAAACAAACCTACAGAGCTGTTATTTTTTGTCATTGGGAAGAATTGTCATATGGTTAAAAAATATTTCAATAATTCACTTGCACGTAAGTGTCTTTAATAGAGGGAGGAAACCAGAGGTCTCAGGGAAAACCAACGAGGTTGACAGGCAACTCTACACCTTAACGTGAAAATATTTAAAAATTACTGATTCACGAAACATGTCTAAAAACATGTAGAATGGACTAAACAGGCCCAAACGACTGCCATTCAATTTGGACTATTCAAGTATTTCACCAAACATAAATGATTAGAAATTTCAAAATAATTTTTTTCAATTTTCACTCATCCTAGGTATCCTCAGTGGTATCATTCCGTTCTACTCCACCATACCCTGGGTTCATTCACGGGGGAGACACACTCAGTATCATCAGTGGTATCATTCCGTTCTACTCCACCATACTCTGGGTATCCTCAGTGGTATCATTCCGTTCTACTCCACCATACCCTGGGTTCATTCACGGGGGAGACACAGTCAGTATCATCAGTGGTATCATTCCGTTCTACTCCACCATACTCTGGGTTCATTCACGGGGGAGACACAGTCAGTATCATCAGTGGTATCATTCCTTTCTACTCCACCATACCCTGGGTTCATTCACGGGGGAGACACAGTCAGTATCATCAGTGGTATCATTCCGTTCTACTCCACCATACCCTGGGTTCATTCACGGGGGAGACAGTCAGTATCATCAGTGGTATCATTCCGTTCTACTCCACCATACCCTGGGTTCATTCACGGGGGAGACACGGTCAAATTATCTGCCCTTGATACTTGTGCTATTTTTATCGACCAATCGAGTGGGTGAAGGGAATGTAAATCTTTTAGAGAGCTATCTTCTGGGTAGAAAACAGTGTATTTTAGTTAATTGCAAATCGTCGTCTGAATCTGTTTTGCCATCTGGGGTTCCCCAAGGTTCTGTTCTTGGTCCGATTTTATTTACCCTCTATACGTCACCATTAGGATATATTGTCAGAAAATATGGTCTCAGCCTTCATTTGTATTTGATGATACTCAATTATATATTTCATTTACACCTAATTGTCCATCTTCTTTCAATTTATCAAAATTGCAACTTGAGAACTGTATTAGTGAAATTAGAAAATGGATGTCAAAGAACTTTCTAAAATTGAATGATGATAAAACCGAATATTTGTTATTAGGCTCAAGGCATCAATTAAGTAAATCTGCACAAGATAACCCCCCTGTTGTAATTGGTAATTGTGATATATTTTCATCTTATTCTGCTCGTAATATTGGCGCTATCTTTGATAGTTTTATGCTTATGGGAGCTCAAGTAAATAATATTTGTAAATTGTGCTATTTTAATATTAGAAATATAGGTAAAATACGTAAATGTGTAACTGTAGAGGCCACTAAGTCAGTTGTTAATTCTCTGGTCACTTCTCGATTAGATAACTTTAATTCACTTTTAGTTGGTTTACCTTTAAAGCTTATAGATAAATTACAAAAAGTACAGAATACTGCGGCTAGACTTGTTACTTTAACTAAGAAATGTGACCACATAACTCCTGTTTTATATAATTTACACTGGTTACCTGTTAAATATCGAATTAATTTTAAGATTTTATTACTTACTTTTAAATGTTTAAATAATTTAGCTCCTGTTTACCTCTCAGATCTTTTAGAACTTTATACACCTGGCTGAACATTACGTACATCAGATAAACTACTTTTAAAGCCCAAAACTGTTCAACTAGTCTCCTATGGTCAGCGCTCTTTTAGTTATCAAGCACCTGTTTTATGGAATAATCTACCATTTAGTTTAAGATGTTTTACATCTCTGTATTCTTTTAAAAAACAACTTAAAACACATTTATTTAATCAGGCTTTTAACTGACTCTGTATACAATCGTTAACATGCCCATAATCTTGTTGTTTATGTGTGATTTACATTGTCACTTTGAAAAGTGCCCCTGAACATGTTATATGAAAGGGTGCACTATAAATATGCTGTAATAATAATAATAATAATAAACAATGACGCTATGACTCGTATGTAAACTGTTTTTTGATTGGTTCAGAGTATAATGAAGTAGAATGAAACCCAGGGTATTGTGTGGAGTAGAATGGAGGGTATTGTGTGGAGTAGATATCACTGGGGATACAGAAGATGATTTTCACTATACGTACACACATATTACATTAATATCTGCTTTTTGGAACCGGGGGATCACGTGGCTAAATGGGTAAGACGCTGGCTCGCTAGTCTGGAGGTCGGGTGTTCAATCCCTGCATTGGCCGAGAAAGTTTATCCAGATTTTCCAGCGGGGTTCCCCCTTGTCAATGATGCAGGACGGAGGGCCTGACAAGGACAGCTGTCTAGTCCTTCGGATGAGACGAAAAACCGAGGTCCCGTGTATATATTGGAATGCACGTAAAAGATCCTCTGGCAGTTGGAATTCGATATAAGAGTAGGTGATAGTGCCGCTGCCCGGGCAAAATTTCCCTCATAGCACACTGTATGGCGTATGCCCGTCTTCATTAGCCCAGTATAGGAGCAGAACAGTAGGACATTAAACCCCATTTCATTTCATTTCATTTCTGCTTTTAGAACCATTTTCAACTATTTTAAGCTTCCAAAGAATAGTCGAGCCATACACACTTTAAACAAATAGATTATTATTATCTTATGAGGTGGGAAAATATTACAGCCATCACTTTGAGACAATATTACCCAAAGGCTTCACAATTAACGGCTTGGAACAGTTGCTCATGCTTGGTGAGGGTTCGCACTGCTCTTGTATATATATATATATATATATATATATATATATATATATATATATATATATATATATATATTTATTTATGTTGATACATGCCTGATAACGACTTGTGAAATCTTGTTGAAACGTCACAGTGAAATAAACCATAGTAATTGTTATTTGAGACAGTACTACATTGTAATCATCTAAAACGACAACGCTCGATCTTGGTCGCTAACGATTAAATAAACAGATTATTATCTTATAAAGGTGCGTAAATATTACAGTAATATCAAATATATTTTAAATACTACAGTAATATCAAATATATTTTAAATACTACAGTGTTATCACCTTTAACGCCATCATCCGTTCTTGTGACAGTCTGTTATTATCTGTTTCTAGCTGTTTAAGTTGATGTTGATCTCGTTCACTGTTGACTACGCTATGATTTAATATCGTACATATACCAGTCCCTGGGTCATCTTTTAACATTAGAGTTATACATCCTAACTGAAACTATAGAACATATACCAGTCACTATAAACCTATACCAGTCACTATAGAACATATACCAGTCACTTTAAACATATACCAGTCACTATAAAACATATACCAGTCACTATAAACATATACCAGTCACTATAAAACATATACCAGTCACTATAGAACATATACCAGTCACTATAAACATATACCAGTCACTATAAACATATATCAGTCACTATAAACATATACCAGTCGCTATAAACCTATACCAGTCACTATAACCCTGCTATACCGTACTGAAACTATATTGTATATACATTATTAATATAATAAACTCCAGGAAGTCAAGAATTGTTTGAAATACCATCACTCCTCCTAATCTTAATATCTGTAAACTATTTAAATACAATTCGATCCCTGCATTGGCCGAGAAAGTTCATCCAGATTTTCCGGCGTGTTCCCCCCTTGTCAATGATTACAGGACGGAGGGCCTGACAAGGACAGCCGTCTAGTCGTTCGTATGGGACGAAAAACCGAGGTCCTGTATACACATTGGTGTGCACGTAAAATATCTCTTGACAGTTGGAATTCGATATAAGAGTAGGTCGTAGTGCCGATATCCGGGCCAAATTTCCCTCATAGTACACTGTATGGCGTATGCCCGTCTTCATTAGCCCAGTTCGGAGCAGAACAGTAAGACGTTAAACCCCATTTCATTTCATTCCCTTGAGAGCGTCCACAAGATTTTTCAAAGTGATCAAGAGCATAACTCTGACAGTAATTATCGGAAATCGTTGAAAATAAATAGGATTCTTCATCTCATGACCATAAACACTGTGTAGGAATTACTTTAGCCTCTAGAAGGTCCACAAGTAAATATGGACGCTGGACGGACGGAGGTGACGACAATATTTGACCATATTTCAATCGGATTTTAACATTAACCTTGAGAGCGTCCACAAGATTTTTCAGAGATCAAGGGGCATAACTCTGGCAATAATTATTTAAAATCTTTGAAAATCAATATAATTCTTCGTCTCATGACCATAAACACTGTGCATGAATTACTTTAGCCTCTCGAAGGTCTACAAGTAATTATGGACGCTGGACAGACGGAGGTGACGACAATATTTCAATGTGGGCGTATAAAAAGTGAACAAACAATTTACCTTAATATCATCTGAGGTGACATGTTTCTTCCACACCAATTCAGCTGTATCATCATTTTTAATTTTAACACTGTATTCAAAATTCACTTCATTATCATCTTTGATGAAGGCTTTTTCAGTTTGATTAAAATATGAGGTAAAATCCATTTTTAACCTTTTACGCTGTTTGTCCATATTATCAGCTGAAACTATAATAAAATGGAATTTATAGATACATTGTCACGAAAGTATTTATCCTGTGGTTATTTCCAATAAAAGTAGGGCAAATTTGGTTTATATGAAAGGTATAGACCCACAATCTTACTAGAAAAATACTGGATTACCCCAAAAATACCCATGGGGCAAGAACTGGGCAAAAATGTCAGGGTTTCACTAACTGGCAACCCGATTGTTGTCTGCCAGCTTATTGTGTGCTAGCTTGACTCCGGGAGCGGTTGTTATTTCTTGATCAAATAGTTAGGTGGTGTTGGGAACATTGAGGGGTGTAATAAGGCCAAGAAGAGGGAGGGCCAGCTGGTATGTAGGATGGTTGTAATAAGACCTAGAAGAGGGATGGCCAGTCGGTAAATCGCTCAGGGGCGGAGGGTGCCCATAAATATATATTTAATTCTTTTGAACGTCGGCACTCCTGCTGCTGAATATGAAGTGAGGGTTAGTTGAACATAACTATTTTGTATACAAGTCCCTATATCCCCCATGTATACAAGTCCCTATATCCCCCATGTATAACTTACAAGTTCCTGTCCATGTTGATTGTCCATCCGTTAGTAACAAGTTAAAACCATCTTCTTTATCCACTGGTATCGTCGTTAACAGAAAAAACTGCTGACTTCCATCGGTTGTAATCTTTGAAAGAACCTTTTTACTCATGCTTTTATTTTACACTAAAACAGATTTTGTGGATATTTATCACAAAGCTAATATTAATGGAGTAGCTATCATGGATATTTATTAAAAAATTAAAATGAATAGGGTTGATATCAACGCGTGAGTTTGGGGGATTGATTGATGTCATGTCAGTAATCAGGCCTACTACGTCATAATTAGGTAGGCCTACATCGACAAAATAGTATAACTGAAACCTTCATCTGTTGGCTTGAGACCAGAACAGGATACACTGGGCAAAACAGATAATGTGCATGGGCTAGTATACGTAAGGCCAGGGTTAGGGTTAGGTTTGGTGCTAGCGCTAGCCCTGTTTACATCTCGTGACCTTTGACCAAACTTGAAGTTGGCCTTATCAAATAGATCTAATGCATGTGAACATGGTAAGAGTTATCTCCTCCTTTCTACCAAATTTCACCCAAACGAAATTACGTAGCTAATTAATTTTCACACTTTTTGATATTTAACAAAATTAACCTAATACTCATATAAAATTTAACTTAAAGAACAATTTTGATATCCACATGGAATGAAATTGATTAATATTTTTGGTTCACAAAAGGGTTTATTGTGGAGGTTTTATATTTGACAACAACCAACGTCATTCTACACTCACTGACTCAGGCCATTTAGTTAAATGGTTGTTTCCAGTCGATCTGACTCCAAATCTGACTGGAGAATATCAAAACCTGGGTTGTGGGTAGGATCGTACCCTGGGAATATAAATGCCGATTTGTTTGTGTCTGTACTTTGTGGCTGTACTTTGATACTGACATTGATAAAGAGTGAAGCTCCACAGCCCAGTGCTTGAGCAAATCTCTTTTCCAGTAACACAGGAGCGTAACTAAAACTGTCACCAACAGACTGTCGGTTAAATAAAAAATTCAGACCGGAACCGGATACACTGAGCAATGAGCATGTCAATTTACCAAATCTCACCCAAGCGAGATTACGCATCTCATAGAAATATTTCTACGACCCGTCTAATCAATGACATCACATATATTTTTGATGTCAATGAAAATAATTCTCACAGTCACACTGTTTTGTTCTTTTTTTTTTAAAACAAAATTAATTAGGCCTAATCATACAATTTAGATCTAAATTAAAATCAATTCGGAAAAACGAAATTTTTTAACATTATTTGTATCACTTGAGAAACTGAAATATGAATGTTTTATATTTAACAATAATCACATCATCAGCTTCAATTCGCTTAACTCAGTCAGGCAATGCCTGTTCAGGCTGTTGTTAAATATGCCTATGGATCTTCCGGCATCCACATCAATGAGGCGGGTATCAAAATGGTGTTTGAAGAATATATTGACACGTATAAAAATTCAATCTATAAAAAAATAACCTGTTAACCTCTGTAATTTAATGATTTCACTATATAAAGTTCATTGTTTATTTACACATTTCTCCACTTTTGACGAGTCGACCCTAAGTCCAAAACAAATAGTCAGTCGAATAAACCGGTCGATGGCTTATTAAAATTTTGGAATCGTTTGTAATCTGTATAAGTTAAAGAAAAAACGCACTAATTCCAATATCTTTTATCATTGTTTTTGTTTATTTTTTACGTCCCCTCATGTTCAAATTTGATTGTTCAAATTAAAACTTTAAGGTGTTATCTTAGTTATTGCCACCGCGGCTTAATAAAGTCATGCTTGACTTTTTCCCTCATCCCCATATGCCCCCATCTTTTAAGTGCACGCCAATGTGTACACGGGACCTCGGTTTTTCGTCCCATCCGAACGACTAGACATCTGTCCTTGTCCACCTCCAAAAGAATAGAGTCCCTATATATGATATGTTGGGTTAGGGGGGCGATGGGGATGAGGTATTTGACATTATCATGTGGCCTCGTCCAGTCGATAAAATCAGTCAGTTAGTTCAGTCGAATAATCCAGTCGAATAAACCAGTCGAATAATTCAGTCGAAAAGTTCAGTCGAATAAACCAGTCGAATAGTTCAGTCGAATAATTCAGTCGAATAAACAAGTCGCTCAATATTAAGCAGCGGTGGCAGTGGGCTAAGATGATATGGTAGCAAATCATGCTCTTAGACATAGCTGAAGGAGCCGGGGCATGGGGTAGAGACCGGGGGGCTTCCCAACTAGTTTCAAGAAATGAAAAGAAATGAAATGGTGTTTTAACGTCCTACTGTTCTGCTTGGAACTGGGCTAATGAAGACGGGCATACGCCATACACTGTGCGATGAGGGAAATTTTGCCCGGACAGCGGCACTACGGCCTACTCTTATATCGAATTCCATCTGTCAAAGGGATCTTTTACGACCACGTCAATGTGGACACGGGACCTCGGTTTTTCGTCCCATCCGAACGACTAGACAGCTGTCCTTGTCCGCCTCGAAAAGAATAGAGTCCCTATATATGATATGAACGAAGAAAGGGGATGGGGTGGGGCGGGGGTGGGGGGGATGAGGTATTTGACATTTTCATGTGGCCTCGTCCAGTCGATAAAACCAGTCAGTTAGTTCAGTCGAATAATCCAGTCGAATAAACCAGTCGAATAATTCAGTCGAAAAGTTCAGTCGAATAAACCAGTCGAATAGTTCAGTCGAATAATTCAGTCGAATAATCCAGTCGAATAATTCAGTCGAATAAACAAGTCGCTCAATATTAAGCAGCGGTGGCAGCGGGCTAAGATAATATAGTAGCAAATCATGCTCGTAGCCATAGCTGAAGGAGCCGGGGGCATGGGGTAGTGACCGGGGGGCTTCCCAACTAGTTTCAAGAAATGAAAAGAAATGAAATGGGGTTTAACGTCCTTCTGTTCTGCTTGGAACTGGGCTAATGAAGACGGGCAGACGCCATACACTGTGCGATGAGGGAAATTTTGCCCGGACAGCGGCACTACGGCCTACTCTTATATCGAATTCCATCTGTCAAAGGGATCTTTTACGTCCACTCCAATGTAGACACGGGACCTCGGTTTTTCGTCTCATCCGAAAGACTAGACAGCTGTCCTTGTCCGCCTCGAAAAGAATAGAGTCCCTATATATGATATAAACGAAGAAAGGGGGTGGGGTGGGGCGGGGGTGGGGGGGGGATGAGGTATTTGACATTTTCATGTGGCCTCGTCCAGTCGATAAAATCAGTCAGTTAGTTCAGTCGAATAATCCAGTCGAATAAACCAGTCGAATAATTCAGTCGAAAAGTTCAGTCGAATAGTTCAGTCGAATAATTCAGTCGAATAATCCAGTCGAATAATTCAGTCGAATAAACAAGTCGCTCAATATTAAGCAGCGGTGGCAGCGGGCTAAGATAATATAGTAGCAAATCATGCTCGTAGCCATAGCTGAAGGAGCCGGGGGCATGGGGTAGGGACCGGGGGGCTTCCCAACTAGTTTCAAGAAATGAAAAGAAATGAAATGGGGTTTAACGTCCTTCTGTTCTGCTTGGAACTGGGCTAATGAAGACGGGCAGACGCCATACACTGTGCGATGAGGGAAATTTTGCCCGGACAGCGGCACTACGGCCTACTCTTATATCGAATTCCATCTGTCAAAGGGATCTTTTACGTCCACTCCAATGTAGACACGGGACCTCGGTTTTTCGTCTCATCCGAAAGACTAGACAGCTGTCCTTGTCCGCCTCGAAAAGAATAGAGTCCCTATATATGATATAAACGAAGAAAGGGGGTGGGGTGGGGGGGGATGAGGTATTTGACATTTTCATGTGGCCTCGTCCAGTCGATAAAACCAGTCAGTTAGTTCAGTCGAATAATCCAGTCGAATAAACCAGTCGAATAATTCAGTCGAAAAGTTCAGTCGAATAAACCAGTCGAATAGTTCAGTCGAATAATCCAGTCGAATAATTCAGTCGAATAAACAAGTCGCTCAATATTAAGCAGCGGTGGCAGCGGGCTAAGATAATATAGTAGCAAATCATGCTCGTAGCCATAGCTGAAGGAGCCGGGGGCATGGGGTAGGGACCGGGGGGCTTCCCAACTAGTTTCAAGAAATGAAAAGAAATGAAATGGTGTTTTAACGTCCTACTGTTCTGCTTGGAACTGGGCTAATGAAGACGGGCAGACGCCATACACTGTGCGATGAGGGAAATTTTGCCCGGACAGCGGCACTACGGCCTACTCTTATATCGAATTCCATCTGTCAAGGGATCTTTTACGTCCACTCCAATATATACACGGGACCTCGGTTTTTCGTCCCATCCGAACGACCAGACAGCTGTCCTTGTCCGCCTCGAAAAGAATAGAGTCCCTATATATGATATGAACGAAGAAAGGGGGTGGGGTGGGGCGGGGGTGGGGGGGGATGAGGTATTTGACATTTTCATGTGGCCTCGTCCAGTCGATAAAACCAGTCAGTTAGTTCAGTCGAATAATCCAGTCGAATAATTCAGTCGAAAAGTTCAGTCGAATAAACCAGTCGAATAGTTCAGTCGAATAATTCAGTCGAATAATCCAGTCGAATAATTCAGTCGAATAAACAAGTCGCTCAATATTAAGCAGCGGTGGCAGCGGGCTAAGATAATATAGTAGCAAATCATGCTCGTAGCCATAGCTGAAGGAGCCGGGGGCATGGGGTAGGGACCGGGGGGCTTCCCAACTAGTTTCAAGAAATGAAAAGAAATGAAATGGGGTTTAACGTCCTTCTGTTCTTCTTGGAACTGGGCTAATGAAGACGGGCAGACGCCATACACTGTGCGATGAGGGAAATTTTGCCCGGACAGCGGCACTACGGCCTACTCTTATATCGAATTCCATCTGTCAAGGGATCTTTTACGTCCACTCCAATATATACACGGGACCTCGGTTTTTCGTCCCATCCGAACGACCAGACAGCTGTCCTTGTCCGCCTCGAAAAGAATAGAGTCCCTATATATGATATGAACGAAGAAAGGGGGTGGGGTGGGGCGGGGGTGGGGGGGGATGAGGTATTTGACATTTTCATGTGGCCTCGTCCAGTCGATAAAACCAGTCAGTTAGTTCAGTCGAATAATCCAGTCGAATAATTCAGTCGAAAAGTTCAGTCGAATAAACCAGTCGAATAGTTCAGTCGAATAATTCAGTCGAATAATCCAGTCGAATAATTCAGTCGAATAAACAAGTCGCTCAATATTAAGCAGCGGTGGCAGCGGGCTA